CGAAACAACTTTTCGAAGCCTCCTTGTTCTTTTTTCAAGTTTTCATTCTCCTCTTTTTCCAAGTTTAAATCACTCTGATTCTAAATCACTCTGATTCGGGGATTAAGTACGCACGCGAAAATCTTGTACATATATAACAACAGGCATATTGATAGCAGTATTTCAAGAAGTTTTCGATATTAGCATTGTTCTGGATCTCTGCTGCTTTTTGGTTATTTCCTAATTTAAAGTTCTCAAGGAATCTTGTACTCCTCCCATGCCTGGTCTCATGCTTCTTTCCCATGTTGATTTTATCTAATTTCCTTTCTTTCCTGAGATTCACGATGTGTATTGCATTTTTGAGGGATGGAGGGAATGTACTGCGATACTGGAAGAAAACCGTGAAAAATTTTAAGTTTCTGCTCACACGCTTTACTTGATTTTCTGGAACCTTTTTTGTCTTCAGGCATCAGAGGTCTGTTTTGATATAGCTGTCTTTTTTCCCTACGATTCTCCTGTTCTGCCGCTTTTTAAGGATTTTCTTTTCGGAACTTTTTGTAATTTGTTACCCGCGCATTTTTGGCAAATCCTTCCATTATTTGTTGTGAAAATCGCCGCTAATCGTGGTTCGCACGAGACGATAAGTAGAATATACGAAAACAGCTGCTTACGGAATGACTGATGCATCTGTAAACACTTTCTGTTTTTTTTTGAGGACATGTCATTTTCACTTTTCAAGGCGCTTTGCTTAGTTTTCGCGATTTCTGTGCCATCCGGAATGTTTCTTGAAAAACGAATTCGTTATGTAGAGCATTAAAGGCTTAAGTAAATTCATGACTGTTCAGGCTGCAGCTTCTTTCTGTCGCATCTAAAGATTCGATAAATATTCCTGTTTTTCTTGCATTTCTGAATTTGCCATTGAATTCTTTGAGGACTGTCGTGCTTTTTGCTGTAACTCTGCATCGGTTTCTTTATCGAAGCCTTCGGTGCTTTCATTTTCAGCTATTTATGTAAGAGCATGAATTGCTGCTAATTTCATTTGTGGGTTCTCTGCTGATACGAATAATGATGAATCGAACTCATTGTAATGTTCTGTTACACAAGTTAATCTTGTTCGTTACTTGTGGTCTAATATTGGATTGGCTACTCCGGCCGCTCTTTCGATGACCCTTGTCTTTTTTTTTTCTTCCATTTTGATTTTTTCGATTTCTTTGATGGCTAATTTGGCGTATTTTTGGTTTCTTTGATGATGTAGATGTTCAGAATTTCATCCACTGCTGTCCAAAATTTTATCCCCGTCTCTCATAAAACAAAGGCCTGGCAACCATATCAAATGGAAGTTCCTGTAAATCGTTGCTGCTGCACCTGCTGATCGGCCTGGTGATGATACTGCCATGTTCAGGGATTTTCGATCCTCTTTTTCTTCCGGTAGAGAGGAGGTTATGGGCACAGTGTTTGGATGAGGCATGTAGATGCGTATAAGAGCAGAAATAAATTATCTGTAGTTGAGATGCCCTTGTCTTTTCTCTCTTTTTTTGTTCTGGATTCGCCATTTTCCCGTAATATCATCAATGATTTCTAAATGTGCTTGTTACTGTTCTTTGTTTCGCAGTGTTGATTTTGATTTCTCTCTCACTGGATATTTGATCCTGGAAGTCCGAGAAAATAGATACCTGTATTTAGCTTGTTTTAGTAATGTGAAGGTTTTAATAGCAGGCAGTGTTGCTTGATAGCTGCAATGTCTTGTATTCACTGGAATATCTTGATGAAGCAGTAATCTCAGCAGCTGAATTTGCGATTTGGAATTGGCTCATGTGTTTCCTGTAAAGTCATTTTGTATCTATGTGATTTTCAGGAGAACAGGAACAAGAAGAAGACACAGGAAGCTCTGTTCAATCGGAGGACAGTGATAGTGAGGATGAAGATCTGAGCGATACTGTTTTGCCTCAAATGCCGAAATCGGGAACGCGAAAAAAGCCAGCCCGTTCGAGGGGTGATGGCAATGAAGAAGAGAAGCACGAAGTGGAGCAAATGGCGCCTGGCACTTCTGGCAGAAGTGAGTTTTTTCTTTTCTCGCATTAACGAGTCTTAAAGTGAGAAAAATACGAATATAGGCGGGTTGAATTTAAAAAAAGTGACTTGAAAAACAAAAATTGTACAAGGAGAACAGTAAGGGTGATTTGTAAAACTACTACTCGACTTGTTTACTTATTCATAGATGCTCACGAGAACTGTTACCAACCAGCTGACTTCTCATTAAGCAGTGGTCAAGCGAGCAAGCTGGATTCCAAAGTAATTAAAACCTTGCAGGCCGTACTTACGATTTAAGTTTATTGCTGGAACACGCAGGAAAATTCAGTTCTTTGCCTCTTTTCTGTTTACCAATCACGAAAAAACATTTAACAGCATCGAGCTGAATGCAGTGCTACGATCTCTTGTAAGAGGGCATGTAGAGCTTTGCAGAGGCCCATAAATCAGTCGGAAACTGGTGAACTAGGTGATCACTGGCTGAAAACGTCCATTCTAGCGTGCCAAAAAAACTATATTTAGGCAAGTAAGGGGAAGGAGAGGGGAGAAAGCGTGGAAATGACAGCGTAGGTTTAGGATTTTAACTGATATTTGCTCGCATAATGTTTGCCAAGTGCCAAAAACACACTTCCACTAAAAAGACGGATGACGATAGTATTGGTTGGTCAGCGTGTTCTTAGATCCGACATTTTGGAGGCTTGGAGGAAAATCTTTGCAATTTTTCAGTGCCAACTCGTCGAAGTACGAGATCAATCGTGTTGTCGCAAAATAGCGTGAACAAAACTCCGCAAAAAAAGGACGCGAAGCAGCTTGTAGCATCTTCGCCAAAGCAGCAGCAGCTTCGAAGGTCATTACGCTGCTCGGCGCCATCAACAGTACTTCCACCTTCGGCCAGCACAGATGCTCCTCGAACACGCTCTGCGCGTGTCAATTCACGTGAATGTCAAACCACATCGGATCGACAGAGCCGAGAAATGAGCTCACTTGATGTGGGCACTTCCTCCACTGCGGAAACGGTTAGTACAGGGTTCTGTTGTCGGCTGTGTCTTGAGAGAAATGTCAAAAATAATAAAAACCTCTCCATATTGGTACTCTCCGAGAAGTGTAGGTACTGGGAAATTGCTCGACTGGTAACACATACCCAAATCAACCACTTACGGGCAAGGTTGCCTATAGTAGTTACTTATAAGCAAACTGATAGCACGAGAAGAAATATTTTTTCTTTACATGGTGATGAGGATGCAAGGGCAGGATACCTAGGAATTAAGAGTCATTTGAAACGATTTTTCGTCTTTCGGACAGGGCATAAATTTCGAGCTTCTGAATGAGAAAAAAGGCGGGCAAAGGCATTAATTCGATTCGCCAATTTTTAATATTCTCTTGGACCAAGATGTAAATTAAATCAATAATCAGGCTTCTATAGGATCTGTTGATGCTTTGGGTTCGGAAAAGCAGTCACTTTCAACTTAATCTTTGTTTTTCAGGCTGAAAAATCGATTGCGGATATCGTTTTGGATAAAAGTGTCATTGAACGTTACTGTAAACGTATGGAAGCGGTTCGTCGTTCGGCACGAAAAAGCGATAAAAATGAAGTATGACACAACAACAGTTGTTCTATGTCTGGAGACTAATGAGAATGTGCGCTCAGCTTAATTTCTCTAGGAATTTTTCGGGATCAAAATTAGGAGGAGCTGAAATCGTTTGTTTTCTGAAATCATGTGAAGGTTGGTAAAATCCAAAGAATGCGAGGGTCTGTCCTGCTTATGTTCGTGAACAGTCTTTCACGTTCATACCAGTGCAAAATAGATTAGTTTATGATTCAATAGATAGTATCTAGTCACATCGACATAAGCTTGAATGTTTGCTACCAGATATTCTTAGGAAGCTGGAATTTTGTTGGCGTTATCTCTAGCTATGAATTGTGTCAGAAATATGCCGCTGGTTTTTTTTTTGATTCTTTCATATCTTACGCAAAGATACGCATGAACTTGGCCGTCATTTTTGCCGTATACCTATGCAGAAACAAACCTCAAGCTAAGACGTGTATGACTTAATGGACCGAAACGTCTTAACTCAGTCATTTTCCCTGCTATTTTCTCCTTTTTATACACCTTCCTTATTTTGGCATCCTAGATCTACCTGGACGTTACAATCGGCTCAACCCAGCATGTAATTCAAAACATAAAGTAGTAACAAACATCCAATGAAAAGTCCTGTGCCAAAAATTCACTCAGTGGCGTTATCTCTCTATTACTCCCCGCTCTTAATTTTTCTGGTGTATGAAATAAATTTTCTATCTAGATAGTCCAGATTCTAAACGTTTTGTATTACTGTGGTTTAGACATCTGATAAGCAAGTGTCGTTGGGCGCCAGAAGCAAACTTATGTTACCAAAACTGAATATTCCACTTGAAAATTGCTTCATAATATTTCGCATAAATCTATTTTTGATAGCACGTGCTTGAGTATTCCCTCTTTGCCACTGCTGGGCTTTCTCAATTTATTTTCTTGCAACAAAATTTCATCAGCGAAAGGTATTGACATTTTTTTATTTGAAGATTTTCTATGGTCGTTGCACATCTCGTCGCAACCTGTTCGATGATGATAGCTCCGAAGAGGGTTCTGTAAGAGTGGCAACACGTTCAGCCTCATGCATCCAGAAGAATCGCAGTGGTCGCTCGGTGAAGACCAATCGCGTATACATGGCGCATGCATTGCTGAACGTCTACAACACCGATCCACTGAATCCACCAAAACCACCAAAAGAAGGTCCATTCAAATTGCACCGCCTCATCCGTCAAGCATCAAAATCGGACAAAAAACGAATAAGCAAATTCAGGTAATATTTTGGTCTTTACAGATTTTTGCAAGAATCATTTTAAATACTACTGTGTTTGCTTTTAACGTTATTCTTGGCGGATCTCTAAAAAGTTCGCGATTTCCAGTTAACATGGCTCAGCTTCGTTTGCTCTCTGGCTCCTGAAATTTTTTTGGTTCGAAAGCTTTTGCAATGGCATGATATTAGTGCATGTAGATGGAATAAATAGGATTTCGAAAGTAGTTGCAGTTGGAAGTAGAAAAGCTATTTGTCACTCGTTAAGTGCCTCACTCGTCCTTGATACTGAATTACTTTTTGTGTAGGCACAAGGAAAGGTTTGGTAGGGAGAGAGGAAGGGAAGACGGAAGACCAAAAATTTTAGTTTTTCCGCCTCACTGTAGATGACAGGAGGGCTTTCCAAGTCAGTGATCTGCTATAGCCGAACATGGTAGTAACACACTTGCGATTCAACTTCAATTTTCTATTTTTCTAGCTTTTGCAAAAATACAGTTTGATATATCTTCAGGCTTCGAATTGCTCGCGAAAAGACAGGACTGGCTTCGACGACCATTCCATCGGAAGCCTCTGGAACGGCGAGCTCATCCCAGAGCATCCAAACAAAGTCTGAAAGCCCGGAAATACAGCTCTCAAACGGAAGTGAGAAGCCCGTAAAATTAGCCAAAGAGTTGTCGGACAAGAGCAGTAATTTATCTTCCTATTCAAGAGATTCATCGGCAGATATTTTCAAGGAGCCAAGCTTCAAAAAGCCATTCAGAAAAACGAGCAAAGTAATGAAAAGTGCGGACACTGGATCTGAAATCCCTAGTGATTTAGTAAAGGGAGGTTCAGGTGATGCTAAAAGAGAAATATCGTTGGAAAGCGAAACAACATCATCTGAATCATCGAAAGTAGCTGGTGATGTTAATGGCGATGTAGAAGGAGTAGCGAAAATTGAAAGTCTGAATGGGAAAAATTCGAGTGAAGAATTGCAGCAAAGCTCAAACGGAGATATAATAAAAACAGATGGAACGCAGTCTTCGCACAGTTTAGATTCGGCTTCTGAAAAATCAAGTGGAACAAGTAGCCCAAAAAGAAAGAAAGCTCGAATGGGCTCTGGGAAACGAGAAGCCAGTTTGACAAGCTCAGCCGAAGACTCGACAAAAATGATCGAAAAAACAGATGAGCAAATGGATTGTACGTGATATACATGGTAATATCTCGCATTTCTTTTGTGAAGCGTTTCTTTTTTTTAGCTCATTTCCATGGGCTTTCTGTGTATTATGTATCTGAACAAGAATAACAAAAATCGCCCGAACAGTTGATGTGGGAATCCATTATACCGGTGGCCATTTCTAGTTTTCGTTCCTCCACATTTTCTTTTTCGAGCATGACTACTAGGAGATATCGCATTCCTTGCGATGCTTGCAACTTTTGATCAACTCTGAATAGCTTTCGATCAGTTTTTGATAGATGTATGGCACCTATAAATAGTGATTAGTTCGGCTAATTAGTGCTGTGACGCTAATTTTGGTCATGTCGCTCCCTTCGTTAAATTTTACCGCATCTCCACAGTATTTGGCGACTGGATTAGGTCCTACACCGTGGCGACTGGATTAGGTTTTAGCTCCTACGCCATCGATTCTCCTGCCTGCACTCTGTGTTTCGATCTAAAATTTTCGGGCAGTTATTGGGAACCATTTACATTTAGCACTTGCTTGTTACTGTGATTCTGCTTTGTTTTTGCTGTGATATTTTTTAGGAAAAAATTTGTGATTTCTGTGTTGATTTTGCTTGACGTGTGATCACTTTCTTAGGCTTATAAACTCCTGACCATTAATTCTGTTACTTGTTATATGTGAGTTAATGACCGATTGCATCTTTCACTGTTGGATGATTACAGAAGGAAATTTCCCCTTACGGTATTTGTTGTAATTTTCCTTATTAGTTTATGCTTATACAGATTATATTAGGAGAAAATTGGCTGAAAAAAAAGAAAGGATTTCCTAGAAAATGTTGTTCATACATCAGTAAAGGGAATTGGTAAATGCTGTAGATTAGGCTCGGTAGGACACTTTTACATCCTGCTTGTGGCATATGGAAGATTTCGTAGTACAATCGTTTTCAGTCATATGATTATACATTTGGGTCAGAAGTCTACCCACTGATTTGTGCTTTCTTAGGTAATAACGTGCTAGAGCAAATTATTCTGATTCACTGATATAGCACCAGTCTCAGTACTTTTAAAATTCGATCTCACCCTATTTTTTTCCGATAGAATATCTCTTAGTGTCCGGTCCGAAGAATATCCGCTAGTATCCAATCCGGAAAATATCCTTTAGTATCCAGTCCGAAATAGGACCATTTACATTATTTTATTCTTCCATTTCTTTGATGTAGCACTTCTCGTTGCCTGTTTTATTCACACCTACCAGTAATGTATTTGCTTGTTCGTTCGCTCATACTTATTTTTTATGAACTTGTTTTTCTGTTCATTCACGTATGAGCTGTGAAAAAGCTGTATTTTCGTGGTCTTTCTAATTTATATCGAATGTACACACAGTGGAATGAGGAGCCACTATATATGTATATTTGTAAGAGATTACCGACAATATTGGGACTGGCTGGACAGTCAGCGTGAGAATCCTAAGTTGGTGATGTTACTAAGATGATCCTGTGTTAGTGATGTTACTGGGATAATCCTATGCAATAAGCACCGGGGACTGTGCCCGATCTTTCGGTCCTGAGCCGGCAACTTTGCCAGGTCTTTCCATCCTAAATTTCACAAATCAAAGAAAAGAATTAAAAAACTAGGCTTTTACGCATTTCGCTAAGATTTCCTCTGAGAAAAGATGGAGCTTGGATTTCATCAAGAGCTCTGAAAAAGTTATTAACTTTTATTATTTGTGAACTTGTTTTTCTGTTCGTTTACATGTGAGCTCTGAAAAAAACTGTATTCTTGTGGTCTTTCTATGTGTATTGAATTTAGACACAGTGGAATTAGAAGCTATAACTTTGCAACAAATTACCGAGAATACTAAGCAGCAGATTGCAGCAACCAGGTTAACGCCTCAGTAATGGTGCAGGAATCCCATATCAGTGATTTTACTGGGATGATCCTATGCAGTGGGCACCAATGCGTAAATTGGCTTTTGTCCGTTTCATTAAAATTTGCTTAAAAAAGATGAAATTTGAATTTTATCGAGAGATTTGCATATAATTTCTACATTGTTTACCGTTTTGCTTGCTAATTTGTGGATTTGGTCAGCTTCATAGTCTTTCTTTGAAATGTCTACAAACATTGGATGATTTGAAAAATGATTGCTTTTGGAAAATATTCAAATTTTTGGTGCTGCAATATGAATTTTTATCGTAAATGTATCTGTCAGTGTGCGTTACCAAGGCACACTTTGTATTTGTGTTTCCTACAAGAGGCACCATCCCTGTGATTGTATTTTTTTTTTTTTTGCTTGGCGCATTTAATGGATTTCAGTTTGTACTCACAAAGTTTTCCTGAATTAATACAAAATTTGCTGTTTAGCATCAGATCAAACCCAAATGCCATTTGTTTTTGGCTTTTTTCATTACTACCGTTGCTCTTCTTTGCAAGAAGCAAAAATTTTTAGATATGAAAAACTAGAACGATTTGTAGGCGAAAAGATGTGGAGCTTGAAGGAAAATGGATACTATTTCTCCTGCTGCTGGTACAGTTGGGGAGGGGGGCGGGAGTTGGAGTTTTTTCTCGGTAATGGATAGACTTTCTTGTCAAATTTTTAGATTAACCTTTGGTCGATGGCATTGCTGATTGATGAAAGAAAGAGAATCGTCTAGTGAGCATCGCAGTTTGAGACCGCGCTTTGAAGTAAAGGAGGAAGTACGTTTGCTCCTTTGCATGCATATTTTCCACAAATCCCGATAAGTTTATATAGATTAAGATGATCGGGAAGAGGGGTTGAGGTTTTGAGACCAAAATTGTAGAATCCTTTACAACCTCTGTCATTTAGAAAGGCCGGTACTAGTTGCATGCCTGGCCATAGATTTTTGTTTTTGACAAGCTGAGAAAGTGGCTAGTAGTGCTGCTTCATATTTTCCCTTTGCATTTCTAAATCACAACAATCTTTCTGCTGGATGAGTTGAACGAATCCGTTTTTTCAAAGATTGAGCGTTGATTTTCCTTGTAGTTTTGGAATGATGATTTTCGTCCTACTTTTAGAAGGGTTTCGCTAAAAGTGATCTAAAAAAAGC